CCTGATATCACATTTCGGGCATTCAGAGAACGTGCCTGGGACCGAATCCAGAGTCCATGGATGATGGGTCCTTGGATTTGCTTATTCTACGGTCCCGTTTGGTTCAGCCTTTCTAGCAAGATCGGTCCAAATCTTTAGATTTGGAAATGCCGAAAGCCCAAACCTGGGACCGACCAGCTTTCGGCATTCCACATATGCTGAATTTTTTTTTCCCTTCCCAAATTACCCTCACTCAAACTTTAATATTCTGATTTTGCCTCATTATTACTGTTCATTTTCTTCACGAAAGCATGACCAGTGAGGGCGGCCGACGACATCGGATCTGGACGGCAAAGGGTTGGCGAGGGGCCGACGAGGTCGCTCGACTTAGGTGACGGCCGCCTAAGGTCACGCAATTGCCCAGGCGCCGTCGGCTTGGGTCGCGTGACCTTAGACCTCGTCACTTGAGGTCGGGCGACCCCCGGCGACCGCTACTGGCGCCAGATCTGGCTCGCTGGCGGCCGTAGCCCTTCGCCGGCTCTGGTGAAGGGTAACTTTTTTTTTTTTAATAAAAAAGGGTCCCAAAACCCTTTGCAAAAAAAAATTAGTCAAACACTACTTTGCCCAAAGTAGCTTCACAAAGAATTTTTTACCAAATACCATTTACCTTTCTCCAAGGGGCTTTAACTTAAAGATATTGGCATTTTCTAAAGACCCCTTCTCAAAGTTGAATCAAACGGGCCATAATTCTACTCATAGTTATTCGCCGACAAAATCGTCGGCGATTACTATTCTCAGGTATGAAAATGAAGACGAGATGATGTATTAAGTCTTTATATTGAATGGTAAAACACGTGATCTGAGGATCGTGTCATTATTTTGCTCAAATCAGTTTGAGGAAGTACTTACCGACCGTACTGAACAAGATCTTATGGACTGTGGCAAATAAGTAGACAGCGGTACTGTTGGGCTGAGCATATTCCAGCAAATTAGCCGCCGTGTGCCTGTGCCCGCTCCCATCAAAGATGGTGCCTCCAGTTTTAGTACCGAACAGATGTTCGTACGTAAAGCCGTTGTCCGGCGTCACCCCGGCTTCAATCAGGCCGTCCCTCACCGCCGACTGCCACGCCAGCACCGGTGGCTTGAACGCCACCTTCCTCTCCACCCACTCGTACGATTCCTCCACCAGCTTCTCGTCCCAGCTGGCCTCCTTCACATAGTCCTTGCTCGCGCGTGTAAAGAAGCCGGCATTCAGCGCGCTCCCCCCGCCAAGGACCCTTGCCCGCGTGTTGACCACGCCGTCCTCGGACACGAATTGCTGTGACGGCGAATTCGGGCTGGCGTCTGCGATGCTCGCGGCGAAATTGGCCATATTCTCGATGTTGCGGTTGCCGTACGGAGAGCCCCCCCTTTCGAGGACCAAAACTGTGGCTCCCTGGGAGAGCGTGGCGGCTAGGGGGCAGCCGGAGGTTCCTCCACCGATGACAATGTAGTCATGGAATGAAACCGACGGAGCCGACACCGCGTCATGAACGAACGTGTAATCCGGAGCTTACAAAAGAGCAAAGAAAAAAGAAGAGAAATTACAAGACACTCCAGTTAGTACGTTTTTCATCGAACACCTCACCAGGACAAGGTCTTTTGAGAAACCTGTAGCATGACTATAGTTCGTGGAGTTAGGCCAACACATCTGTAAGTCTAACTACAATACGAGATTTAAACGAAGTACCTTTCTCCGAGTTGCAAATGCCATGGAAGAGGGAAATTACAGCAAAAACACAAATCAGTCTCCATCTTTGCAGATACATGATGGGGCTGAAACTTCAGTTGACTAGATTCGTTTGCAAATCACTCTGCCTTTTAAAGAGCTCTAAACTTCAAAGAAGGCAGAATTGTTGTTGAACGTTGAGCGCTTGAGTATTTAAGAATTATGGAGCCCCACTTTCTCAGATACGTCTATATCAGCGACAGCTTCGACCTGCTTCGTGAATTTTTCTGAGGGAGGTCAGTGTTCTTGGACAATATGATCCGAGTGCGTGCGGACTTGCAGAGTTGGTTTTTGCTCTGTGGAAACTAGAGAAACAAAAGCAATGTGGGCCACCAAATTCAATCAATATGGGTCATGATTTTTTTATGATTCATTCTCACAGGCCCATGAAGAGGGCTCTTCCTTCCAAGATGAACACAGAAAAGCTTAATTACTTGGTATTGCTAGGTTCCACTTATGGGTTCACTGATGAAGTTATGACTCGCCTTTTGTCAATCTTATGCTTCATTTAGTGCTCACAACCGCTCCAACGACCAGTTTTCAAATGACCTGAAAGATTTCCTAATCATTTTCTTGGCTATTGAACATGCATCTTGACTTTGCTGCTCATTGTCCCACAAATCAATTTCATCAAGGTCGGAGCGAAAGCAAATGGTTCCTACTTTATTGAGCGGAAATTGAAAAATTTATTACCCATCATTAATGTTTTGAAGACATGATCCTCGATAAGAAGTCATGTGACGACGTTGTTCTATGCCAAAAATAACTTGAAGCTTGCACAAAAAGAAAATATATGAACTTGGAGTTGAAATTTGGGTGATTACTTAGCTGGGGTCTTCGTTGGTGAGGAATAAAAGCTCAACTGCTCATTGTCAGTTGGTGAGGCAAATCAATGCAATGACCGAGACTCTTTTGATTCTTCTTTTTTTTTTACAATCATAGATCGAATTTGACTAATCTTGCCCAGGTGAGAACTGAGAATTGACCTTACACCCGCCTGAACCCACATGGAATTTTAATTGGCGACCATTTTTAGGAAATTCAAATGATTTCTTATCCTTGTTTGGAAATGGATTGTCAGCCTCTTGTGCTCTTTTGCTCTAGTGCAAAAAAGTGCTTTTCCCAATTTGTTTGAAACAAACGTGTGGAAAAATAAATACAAGACACAAGGATTTACGTGATATGATCACAAGGTGATCTACGTCCACGGATTAGGCAAAACAAGATTCCACTATAATCAAAGAGAGTACAGTTTTCAGAAGTCGAAAAAACGACTTAACATAACCTCACGGATCACAAATCTCTCCCAAAACGAAAATCTCTCTTAATTAATGAAAAAACATAGCCGCAGTATAAATAGAGCTCCCCAAAAATTTCCACGGGGGCTACGCCCCCGAATCCCCCAAGACATTTATTTGCTTGTTCCAACTTGGGCGAACCGCCATAGAGATTTATTCGCTTGCTTCAGGTTGGGCCGGCGTCACGAACTAAATCTCAAATTTTCCTCCATTTTTGGGTCACACAAAACATATGTCAAGTCGGGTGCTGAATCGGACCAAGTACATAAATTTCAAGACATATTTAACACATTTTATGTAAGTGAATGTTAGGTGAAGAAAGTAATCACCATCCTTAAAGACACATGATATGAATTGAGAGAGGCCCATCCGATTAGCTGGCTGATTGAAGCCTTCACGTTCACACAGCGGCGGTTGTCTTCACTTGCTTTGTGTCCAATACCAAATGGACAGGTTTAGTATTGGAATTCGAATTCCCGTTGTTTCGCCGAAGAGTGTTGACAGAGCACCTTTCAAAATGTGGATCGATATGAAAATCGACAAAAAATGTAAATAGTTCTTTGTTGATTCCTGGACATAAATGTGGATTGACGAGAAAATTAAAAGTACGAAGACTGAAAATAATCGCGGCTAGCCATGTAAAAATGTACTAGAATTTAAAGATAATAGGAAGATAAAATTGAACAACATTGATTAGCGGTGTCTTGCTCGAATTATATTTCTAATACTTATAGCTACTAGCGATAGTTAACACACTAATAAAATAAAACAATTACATTCTATGTAACTCCTAGAATTTAGCAATATATATTTACAAATGGTTGCAAAAAAAAACTCAATATTTGATGATCATGGCCTCATAGCTCGCCCCACATCAACAGTTATTTTCACAGTTTGTAACTCCTCTTCTTGATGGTTATAACAGCTCATGTTTCTCGGCCATTATTATTAGTGGCTTTCAAGATTTTCAGCTCCACAAACTGGTGATCGTGCCTGCTTCACGATTGAATTGACCGTTATGGTTGTAGCCGAAATTATTGGCTTCGTGACATGAATTCTTATCTTGTCTTCGATTCATCGATTCTTCACTGTAGCTTCGATTCACTTGTCGGTTGAACCAAGCCTCATTTACCTACACTCGCGACTCAACACTTAGTATTTTTATCACGCATCACCGATCAACAACTTCTCGATCTTTTACCTACACTCGCGACTCATTGCTTTTACCGATTATCAATAGTTGCCAACCAAAAGGACTTAGTAAATTTTACCGGAAACATGTCTTGTTCAATCTTTCCTAGTTCGAGTTGACGGTCAGGGACTTGGGCAATTATTGGTGTCAACGCCTAACTAATGGGGCTGCCTATACAGTGACGAACTGGCAATGATGTGGTCCTCACTATAGAAATGGGTTCACACCTCATATACAATAAAACAACAGCACACATGCGAATCTGCACTATAAAATAACCCTGACGAATTGAACTCCTTCAAATCTAGCACAATTGAGAATGCAAAAATAGATTTTGGCACGTTGACAAGTTCTCAAGCCATCACTCTCGACTTTCCTTTTATATTCATTGCAATTGCAATGATCCGTTTGCTCATGCATGCATATGTAGTTAAAATTTTTATCTATTAAAAGAATTAATGCCAAATTAGCTCAAAGACGGACGGTCTTGTCAGTTGCTAGTTATGGCTACCCTGCCTGAAAATTGGTTGACAAATTGATCTGAAGCAAATATTGAAGTTTTAGGTAATAACTTCTCGACTTTGGGATAAAATTAAAAGGATCCTTAAAGTACAAATTTTTCCAGGTCTTGAGCGATCATAAAGTAAGACTTCTCGTTTAAGCTAGTGTTAATAAAACCACACTGGAAGGTTTTGGCTACAGTTTTTGGCCGATTTCAATCAGTTCAACCTGGTACGGGACAGCAATTCAGCTCAATCTCTGATCTGGTTTTGGAACACTGGTTTAAGCAATGAATATGCTAAGTAAGCTCAAGTTGAAAGTAGGACACAAAACGGTCTTCAGACGAATCCTCAACCACTTTTCTTTGAGAATACAATCCTAGATCTTACCGTCTTCGTGTGTAAGAACTCCCTTGATCAGAATCGGCAATTTTGTTATAGATCTCAACCATCCAATGTCCTGCAGCATTGTCATTTAGTTACATGACCAACAAGATACCAAATGAAGCAAATAGAGTCATTAAAAGGATCCACCTATCATTTGTAGGTCACGGCCACAAGGGAAAATTGAATGAAAAAAGTCATCATAAGATAGCTATTAAAACTATTTCTACACTGGATGACACTACCTCGCACATCTCATTCATTCATAAAACCCAATTCTTTTGATGAAATATCATTCCAGAAAAAATTTCAAGGATTAATTACAAGGTAATTTAAGATGGTATGGAGGTTCACCTTCCAACTCAAAGAAGCATCAACAGTTGAATCAGCAAAAGCTTTTACATTTGAACCCTCATCCTGCAAATTGCAGCGGAGGCAAAGGAAAAGGGGAGAGCGAGTGAGAGAGATGTCATGCTTAATTTCGGCATTTACCAAACCATAAAAATTTGAGATATCTCTCAAGAGGTTATTTAGGCAGTGAAAATGCCTTCATCGGTCAATTATTAACCATACATTTCCTGTTGCCTGACGTTATCCGAACCCTTTGTTTCTTTGCCCCAGGATACAAGGGTAAAACATTATGTTCTCTAAGCAAATCAACTATAAAAAACTCCTCCAGAAACAGATATAATCAAACTGAACAGTTATAGAGAAAAGAGCGTCGAAGAATACAATACTCTTTGCCCCAAGGGCAAGCTTTGCTTAAGGGAAGCACAGAGCTCACTGGGATAAACCTCCTCTAGGCTGAGCCCAATACCATGATATCAACAAACATCAACACCATAGTGTGCATTTTTTTTAGTTTTGCTACCTTGCTAATGCCAAAGAGAGTTACAGACACCGAAAAAATAGAGCAGCATATAGCAGGGTATGAAGATGATGACGAAAACAGCCTCCAAACCATCGAAGGAGATCGGTCAATGAGATATTAAGAACATAGATATCTTCCCATGCGTGCATCTCCATTAAGTAGGTAAAAATATATTGCTATTGTCAAATCCTCAAGTAGAAAAGAAATCATTCACTCACAGAGACAACTTGAGTTGAAAGTAGACCTTCAAAATTCTTCAATTAAGGCGCTATCATTCTGTCATAGAGAGAGAGAGAGAGAGAGAGAGAGAGAGAGAGAGAGAGAGAGAGAGAGAGAGAGAGAGAGAGAGAGAGAGAGAGAGAGAGTTTAACTGTACCCGAACTTTGTTCATGACCATGATATCCATGCACCAGGGGGATGGGGGAGCGAGAGAGGAAGAGGAAAGCATTTTACTTGTTCTTTATGTCTGCCTCCCTTCTGCCAAGTCTGGGAACATCAACAGTAAGAACAATAGCTTTGTATCCACTTCTTTCAGCTCTTTGTACTAGCCGAGCTGCAATATCCCGTCTCTTGTATACCTGCATAAGGAGATGCATTAATTATTGAGATTAAATCTTAATGGAGAATGTACAAAGCCAAGAAAACTGGAGATTCTTAATCAAATAGATGCTTACATATATTTGAAAGAATCGAATGGCATCACAGCTGGACGCGACCTCTTCTACAGTGCACGTGGACATATATGAAAGAATCTACAGTAAAGAGGTGAATTGAGTATGTCATAGCAGCAAATTGAGATTAAAAGTATTCGGTAATCTATTACCATGATGACATTACATGCAGCAGCTGCTCTTGCGGTGGCAACCTCTCCTGGAAGATGGAAAAATTGCATCGCTAAAATCAAAACAAGCAAACATGCGAAAGAGTTCCTCCGAAAAAATTCAGGTTTCACACCTTCAGGATGTGCTAAATTATGCCTAGCAGTTGGAGCAATCATAATGGGGGAAGAAACGTGATAGCCCAATATAGTAGTCGACAAACTAATTTTGCTCACATCAATGAGGATCCTCGGCCTAAACCTGCCACAAATTCATGTGTTGAGAATAACCGAACAACATAATATGGTTGCTGCAGATTTAAATCTGACCAGCATTCATTAGTCATTACGTTATTCTGCGAAAGGCTTCCGTGTTTTCTTGAAGTGTATACTGGTCTTCTGCTCCCCCGGCATAAAAATCATAGTACATTTTTGGAAGGGCTTGCCTAGCCAATTCTTGATACTCATTCACATTGACAGGATCCTCAGCCATGTTTCCTGAATAAAAATTTAAGCATGTATTACCTCAGCTTAACAATTTCTCCTAAGGGTGCTGCTAAGCTAACGACACCGTATAAGGGTGCCCTTTTTACCACACACTCACGCAAATGAAGGTCTAAAACAATTTACCATAAACTGACGGCATAATTGCAAGTTAAATGTGCCCACACGAATTCACATTAAATCTAAACAGGAGAGTGAAAAGTATGGAATAGCGATCGTAATGCAACCCACACCCCTCGACGTATGTATAGCCATAACTACAGAACACGAACACATCAAAACGCGTAGCCCAACGGCATTCAGAATCTCACGCTAGCCTAACTACTCACATGAACCTTCGTCACAAACTCCTGCATGACCGTCAATAATCTTTTCGCTAGTCATGACTGCAGAAGGATAAAAAAAAAGAATGCGATCTTTCTGCATCGCAGACGCTCAGCCATACGGATGCTCAAAAAAGTTCGGAGCAGGGGAGTTACTCTGTGCTGCGCACTCGAATCAAAGAAGAGAGACGATCCAAAGGGTACGATGTTTCGCAGGATAAGCAAATGGGAGCCTTGGGTTTTCACACGAACGGAGCAAAACCTCTCTGGTCTGATGACCGGAGTCACTCTAAAGAATGATAATGAAGCTACCGTTGGGGATGGGCGATTTACTGATTACCAGCGATCGCGTCCAATGAAAGGCCGCCCGCCTTTATTCTCTTTAGGTCAGTACCGCAAAAAACTTCAAACTGGAACACCTACTGTAAATTTATCTCAAACTAATTTTTTGACAATAAAAAAGGGTACTCTTATGATGAATTTATCCCAAATTAATTTTTTGACCATAAAAAATCCCAAATTTGTACATTTGTGACAAATTTACCCTCCGTTAAATTGGATTAATATCACGAAAAATCACAAATTGATATGACAAACAGAGGGTAAAACCCCAAACTGATATACCCGTTAACTGCCACGTGGCATCCGACTCAGAAATTTGATGGTAAAATTTAATAGAAACTTACAGAGGGTAAAATTGTCATAGGTATACTAATTTGAAATTTTGGTGGTCAAAATATCAGTTTGTGATAAAATTATTATACGTGTACCAGTTTAAGGTTTTTCATGATAATACCCTTCTCTTTTCCATTTTCTTCTGTCTTTTATGTTCTATAAGTCGATAGAGTCTGATACTCAATATAATCACTTTAACATCGTAGCGGATTCTGGGGAAATGTATATGACTGGGGAATCTCTTACCAGATTTTGCGGGACAATCTTCAATCTGGTTTGTCAATGTGAACCTTGTGTTGGACTAAAAGGCTAAAATTAAATTTCATTGGAGTACATGCGGGAATAAAGGCTATGACGTGCTGGCTTGGGCTGCGAAGGTAGAAGTATCAGCTAATAAACAGAGGCTCCAAGCCTGCTGAGGAGAGTAGAGGATGAGTAGGGGCAAAAATATGTTCTCAGGAAATGCACGACCACAGGAGCATCCATTTTGTTAACAACTTCTGAAAAGCACTTATGTCTGTACTTAATCTTACCCAGCCTTCTTGTGGTGGGGAAGAACTGTTCTTTCGAATCATTTAGAGGGCCGTTCGTGATGATACAGACTTGACAAAATTGATTGGAAGGTATTAGAGTCGGAAGACAGATCAATTTCATGTCTTACAGGGATTTTATGCTTCAAATTTAATGCTCAAAAGTACTATTGAACATTAACATCTACTAAAGAACCAAGAAAAAACCAGCTTTGACTATCACAATCTATACTGATGCTCTTACTCTGACTCCAATTTTATTTTTGATAATGAAACATCACAACTAATTACATAACATGGCAAACTAGAAGCGATAATACAACAAGGGTATCGTCCATTTGACTATGTGAATCTTATTTTCATGGATGCTGCAGCGTGAATTTAGAGAGAGGAACGAAGTCTCTCGCGGTTTGTTATGACATGGCCCCTAGTGATATCCTTTATGGTGGGACATCCAGATAGTGCCATCGTAAGCTCGAGCTCATGCTTCAGTATCTCGGTGACCCTTCTAACTCCAGTTTCCCCTTTTGCCGCCAACCCATATACCACAGGCCTTCCTATCTGTTGTAAGAAGACCACTATTTAGGAGAATGTCAACATTTGTCCTAGGGCACTTGTTCATTTGTGATTCAGGTGTTTTGGTAATGTGAAAAGATAGTTTCTACTAACTTGGCACGATATTATCACCCAAATACCTCAAGGGTTTGTTACGATACCCCTTACTAATATAGCAGACAGTCCACATCGAGAAATATCAGGAATGTGCCAAACTAATTATAAAAGATTGTAACAGTACTGCTTGTGCCCCCAAGGGCCAATATGCCTTGAAAACATCTGTTCCTCGCCGCACTCCTCCATCAACAAAAACAGGGACTTTCCCTTTGACTGCATGAACAACCTACAAACGAAGGTTTAAAAAAAGTCATGACCAAAATGCTGTTTGATATAGATGACTTGCTGCAGCACAAGCTTTCATGCATTTGTAAAAATAGAGGGAAACAGAATGCCACTCTGCTTTATTTTCAGGGGGCAAAACCGGGTGCATTTACTCTTATCCAGCGTTTACAAATGCTCCAAATTCTAGAATCTATTATTAAACCTGCCGGACAAAGGAGTTAGTAAAAATAGGCACCTCTTCCAGAACTGATATCGTGGCTGGACTATAATCTAGCTGTCGAGCTCCATGATTCGAGACAATTATCCCAGCTACACCTGCTTCCACTGCCTTAATTGCTGCCAATGAGGGCATACAAGCTTGTTGATAAGGTTATCGAGTATGCAACAACCAATACTAGTAACAACAGACAGTATACTGAGAAGCAATATCAAATGTCAATAGATGAATAAGATGCTTCAATCCAATATCAGAGAACAAAAGGTCTCATCAAGAACAACAACGACACACATGCGTCCATATACTGGACCGCCCCGGGGTCATTGTTATCTTTTATTTTATTTTCTTTTGTTTTACTCAAACGGAAAATAAAATGCCATAAAAATGAGGCTCTAGGGAAATATCGAAAACGTGAAGAGATGGGGAGTGAAATTATCATATTTGTATGTCCCAATAAGATCTTATGATCGTTCTAAACGATGCCGGTTGTGACATATTGGTCGCCAACATTTCTCATGAAGACAAAACGTGACCTGACTGTTTCCTAACAAGAACCAGCTTTATATGCACATGTATTGCTTTTGTCGTTTGGTTTTGGTTTTTAAGTGCCGTTCCGACCGCCTCAAGCTCATTGATAATCCCGCGGATCGCCGTCCTTTGAGAAAGTAGCTTGAACACTCAAGAAATATGTTTCACAATGCATCTCGATATTTAGCTGGATGGAAAATTACTAAAAAAATCTAAACTTATTATACGGATGTCAATTTAGTCATAACCCTTTCAATTTAGCCAATTTAGTCGTAAATCTTTTATCAGTTTAGTCCTTCGACCGGCGCTGACATGTACAATTTTTACAATTTCTTTAAAAAAAATTGAATTTTTTATATTATTGTTGTTATAATTATTATGTCATTCTGGCCGGTGAGAGCGGTTGGCGAGGGTCTTGGCATTGGGCTAGGGTCACCTCGCTCACAGTTGGTGAGATCACGAAAACCCTTGCCTAGTGGCCGGCGAGCGTTGCCGAGAAGCTCGCCGTCCACAATAAAAAAAAAATGAACAAAATTATGAAAAAAATTACAAAAATTATTTACGTCTGCACTGGCTATCCTACGTATCATAGCTAGAGTCCATGTCAACAATTTTCGGCCAAAATTGGCAAATTGTTAAAAGGTTTATGATTAAATTGGTTAAATTGAAATGTTCAGAACTAAATTGATATATGTACAATAGGTTTAGGATTGTTTTGGTAATTGTCCCCAGGTCCATCGCGCCTCGTGCACTCAAGTATTGGTAATGAATCGGTGCAGCGAGTCACTCTCCTCTCTGTCACCACAAAACAGCGAATATTAGTTAAGTGAACGTTGGATTTTGTTTCCCATAAGAAATTTCCCTCAGCAGGAAACATTAGGATAAAATTACACAGGACTATATAGTCTGTCGTTGACTTTAGGAGAGGTATTAGTTGGTTATTAGGTTTACGACGTTGCCTTCTTTTTTTAATGCAACATGCGAGGTTTTTTTCATTGTTATTATTTCCTTTTTTTCGCTTTAGATGCTATTGACTCAGTTTAGCACATCAAGAACGTTCAAAGTTTTCTTTATTACTCTGCTGTTCTTGGAAATCAAGTTAGAATTTAATGAATAAGCAGTGAACGTAAGAAAACCAATGTGTTTAGGATATAGATTGAGACCAATTGTGCTCTTCGCTTATTGATGGTTTCGCGATTTACTTTTGGTTCTTCTAAATCGGTCAATCTCATAGAGAAAGAAAGAAGCTTGGGCAAATTGGCCATTATAAGATATTTAAACAGCTTTTTTCTGTCCATTTAGTTAAAACACAACTCTGCACGAGATATGCATCATGGTTTTATTACAACTATGCAGCACTTCAAATCTTGAAAATCTCCACATAAACGCTATTTTCGTTACATGCATCTATACATCATTGGTCATTACACCAATTGGAGGAATGGTTTTGTCACTGGTGGTGACCGAAAGCTACATTCAAAGTAAAATACCAGCGCAAAATGATGGACTCGCTCGATCAGGACTTGACCAGGACTTCTGTATATTATAAAGAATTCGTGCGAAAATTATACAGTTCAACAAAAGGGAAAGCAAGAAAACATATTAATAAAAGAGGAGAAAAAAGAAGCAGAACAGCGAAAACTAGACATTGAATCACATAGGAAATGAAAAATTCTAGCCTTGCACTTGCGCCTGCTCCAAGCGAGCTCAATGTATCGAAATCATTGATGATAGCTTCCAAACATGATCTTAACAACTGCGATGTGTAAACGGCTCAGGTGAACTCGATGCATCCAATGATGACTCGAAAGAAAGCAAGCGAAAGCAAGGCTTGTAATCTGATCTTTGATGAGCTACCTCACTAGCATCTTCCTGCTGCTGATCTCAAAAGGAACGACTCTTATGACCAGACCGGGGAAAACATCATCCGGGTCTTGGATGTGCGGGTTCCGCTCGACTATGAACGGGTCGCCGCACTTGTCGCTGATCGTGTGGAGCGTCTCTCCTTCGCGCACCACGTATATCTCATCGCAGGGCCGGTCAAAGAACCGCTTTCCTCGCACGCTTGAGCCCTTGTTCTCTCTCATGGAGGCCACCAAGATGAGCGCTATGACGGATACAGCACAGCACCATGCAGCTACGTCTGCTATCATCCTCGCCGCTTTCATGGCGGTCCTGCTCTTCCCAGAGGAAGCCATGAATCTCCGGCAAAGAGAAGAGGGTTTGGTAATACAGACGAGATTATGCGGTTCTCTACATGTTTGTATATGTAAGTACAGTTATATGTTATGAGAGAGAGAGAGAGGGAGAGGGAGAGGGAGAGAAGGTAGGGGAAGGTCTTAGGTGGTGGAGATGGAGGTATGGTTGAGGGGAGGAAGTTGGTTTCCACGACGATATGAATTTGTACTTCGGCTCCGGTTTATAATGTTTGGGTGGATCCTAAGGCTTAACCAAAGTTTGATAGGGTTTTGAATATGGCTAAATTTATTTAAATCTCATTGCTAGTTTACGAATCAAATTGAATACTAATATGGTCAATCGTCTTGCCATCTCAAATTTACTAAAGAGGACTTTCTCGTTTCTTCATGTTTTATCAGTGATTTGATTTAAAAATAGGTATATTGGCAGATGAGAGAGGCATTCTTTTTTTCTTGGCCAGTGATGGGTGTGTACTTAAATCAATATATTCCAATTTCATGTGTCATTACGATGGGAATAGGCTTTATTCAACAATAAAGTATCGAGTGAACGTTCGACATGTGGGGAATTCATTTATCTATTCGAGAGAGAGGTGGCAACATCATACGCAAACGAGAACTAATTAAATTTTAATCACGATTATGCAACATTGACATTGCCAAGAACCACTTAATTAGCGTATTGTGTCGCTGTATTCAACCGTGGTTGGCGACTAGTAAACTTTTATTTAAGAATTCCATATGAGATAACGAAATAATTAATAGCATATAGTTGGTGATTGCGGTCAACGATTCCCGGTCAACTCCTTTTCCGTTTGGGAGTTCCTCTCTGGTTTAATTTAACAAGCTTACCAAACCACATCCATCTACCATTACAAGAAAATGTATGAGTTACAAACAGCCTCCCCCATAAATTTTTCTATGATTTGGTCGTGGTTCGAGGTAGAATTGAACATCTAGTACTTTAGAAGTTCAAAGAATGGGTCAAACACGAGGATATACATTCGTAGACAATGTGATTATTATTATTATTATTATTGGTGATAATGTTGTGGTGGGAGATGGCGTGCATGCTCAGGAAAGGATGGAAACTTCCCCACTTGCTCACCACACTAGGGGAGGAAACCTGTGAGCATCAATCGCCCAATCGCCCAACTAACCAATTGGACCGTTATTCCACAGCAATGAGGGCGACGTTGTGTTTGCTTTCTCCAAAACTTAAAAGGAAAAAAATGAATTATTGATTACATAAATTCATTTTGCAAATGATATGGTGGACAAATTCCATCGCAGTGCAAATTCATTAGATAAATAGCATTTTCTGGGGCGATCCGAGTGAGTTCTATTGGGACTTTGGCATATGAGCGACAAGGTCTATTAGATTACAAGTTTACCTACTAGGGTACCACACTTTTCTAGCTGGTTTTCATAAGTGGTTGGTGTGTTCGGACCATTAGACCACCCCCTTCTCTTCCCATGTTTTGTGGCAGCCATGAATCGGGTTGAGTTTATTGGAGTCGTGTGGCTCCAATTGACCTTCCACTACGAAGTACAAGATCGATGATGGCGCCCGACAAGAACGTTTCCCGGTCTTGTCCCACTCGTGTTGATCCGAGCAAAATAGGAATGCGAATCGAATGGCTTGCAATAGGTGTGCACGAGTTCGATTAGGACAACTCGTTCGACATCGTTTTGGCCTTTCTGGGGTTGACAGAAAGAAAGATCCGGCGGGGTTGATTATGTGATTTAGGAAGTGTTAAGGATGCGAGGGCATCACACTTTTCTTAAATATACTAAGCAATTTTAGCTATACCTATTCTTCATTGAAAGGCTTCTTTGCGCTTAGGACAAATAAAAGTGTGTTATTAGTTTCTCTATGTAAATTTAGAATAATTATGAAGAAATCACTTTCGTTAAAAGAGGACATGTATCCGTATCCGATTTTTCAATAATATTGCTTAGTATATCTAAGAGAAAATTACCCGATCAGTTCTATATTTATTGTACATATGTCAATTCAGTCATAAATTTTTTAACTTTACCAATTTAGTCATAAAACTCAAGCAGCCACTAGTGACCACTAACGAGAGCCACCTGGGGTCACACAACCTGGCGAAGGCTGTTTGAGTCGCGTGACCCCTCGCAGAGGTCACGCGACCCTGACAAGGGCTGTTTGAGGTCGTGCAACCACCCGGCCCATCAGCAGCCCCTCGCAGCCATGCTCAACCATGTCGGCCGACCTCAATGGAGAAGATGACGAACAGTCATAAATGACAGTAAAACTGAAAAACCAAAAAATTTGTGATAATAGTTTTGGAAGTTAAAAAAAGAATTAATTATGCTGTGTTCGTTTCCGGAAAAATATTTTTCCGGAAAACATTTTCCGCGTTTTCCGGTGTTCGGGGGCGGAAAATGTTTTCCTTGGGAAAACATTTTCCTTCCCCACCCCCAAATCCTTCATTGTTTTGAGGAAAATGATTTTATCTTTTCACAAAGAGGAAATCATTTTCCCAAAGTGAAGGCAAAATTGCCCATGGGAGGAAAAATGTTTTCCGTGGGAGAGGAAGTAGATCGCAGGGTCACCGCCGCGGTCGCCGCTGATCGCTGCTGCCGCGGCCGCCGCACCGCCGCGGTTCCGCCGGATCGGCGGTCGCCGGACGGCATCGCCGTCGCCGCCGCTACCGCCGCCGGATCGGGATCGATGCGCCGAACATCGAAAATATTTTCCGAAACTTTTTCAAATTTTAAACACCGTAAAATTGTATTCCGGGAAAATATTTTTCGGAAAATGATTTCCAAAATATTTTTTAAAAAGAGAATATTTTGCGGCAAATGAACGGGCCTTATTGTGGCCTTGCATGCCGAGAAAGCCGAAAGCCCAAGGCAGCCTAGGACCTACCTTGGGCTGTCAGCCTTTCTAAGGTTGACTTCTGCCGAATGGGGTTTCTAAAATTTGTTCCCAAACACCCATATTTTGGCCCAAGTGGGTCCCTTGGAAAGCCTTTCCCAAACGTAACCTAATTGGACAATCTTCCCATACATCTAAGTTTTTCTCAATTTTATACGGTTTAAAAAATAGGGTTTTTGTCCTAAATGTATTTTCTTATATCTATTATTATATCCCATATCCTTTACATATGTCTTACTATTAGACAGAGGAGAGTCTTCAAAATGATATTGTTTTGAAACTTCTTGAGTTCGGTTTGGAAAAGAACGGATTTCTTTTTTTTTTTTTTTTTCTTTCTAATTCCTTCCTATCCTTTTGTTTACTTTTTTTTTGGGATAATCATTTATTTCCTTTTTTCCTTAAGAAAGTTTTAAAAATTCATGATATTTTCCGGGACATGGTCCATTTCTGCCATGAACCCTTGGAAAGCGTCGTCATTTAGAGGTGACGCCATGATTTTGTTATTTAATATTTCTTATATTACTCAAATATACGTGTTGTAAGCATGGAGTCAATTGTGCAGCCAAGATTAGCTTACTAAATTTCGTGCGTACATTACCAAGTATTGTTCACTGTGGGGAGTCTCATAGAACCATGACAATAACGGAAAATTAATCATAATAATCAAAATGTGTAGGCAAAATGAGAGAAAAAAAAGTATTTAACATCAATTTTGGTAGAAATAATCAACTAATAACTATTCTTTTCAATCAGGTTGTGGTCATTATAACATGTCTAGAATATTGATACAGAAAATTTAATGGCAAAAGCAACAACACCCGCCGCAAAGCGCGGGCTTTTCATTGGTATGTGATATATAAAAGAGGATTTTTCAGAGTAAATGATGTGTATAAAATATTGTTTAGATGCTTTTTCTTTTTCAAAGAATCATGAGCATTTTTCAAAGTGATTTTCATCTTTTTATAGGTTCTTAAATGAGAAGAGTTGAGAAGAGGAGTATAAAACTTTTAGGGTTAATACCATGAACAATCCTAGACTGGTAGGAGTATAAAACTTTTAGAGTTAATATCACGAACAACCCCAAACTGGTACACTTATGATAAATTTATCCTCTATTAGTTTCCGTTAAATTTTACTGTTAAATTGTTGAGTTAAACGACACGTGGCAATTGACGGGTGTACCAATTTGGGGTTTTACCTTTAGTTTGTCACAGGTGTACTAGTTTGTGATTTTTTTTTTTTTGTATTAATCCAATTTAACGAAACGTAAATTTGTCGTAAATGTATCATTTTTGGATTTTTGGTGGTAAAAAAATTAGTTTTTGGTAAATTTGTCACAGTTGTACCAGTTTGGGGTTTTTCGTGATATTAACCCAAACTTTTATGATTTCTGCAACTTAATACTCCTAAAACACAATAATCTCTTTCTTGAATGTTCAACTTTAATTTCAACAAGGAAACTAGGAAATTTTTCAAACATGTTGCTTAGAAGGAAAGCTAAGCAGTCTCTTTCAATTTACATAAATAGCAGCTCCATGAACTTTCATACTTTCGTACATAAACAGCTCTTTATCAGTGCTCTGTTTGTTGGGTTAATTAAAATTTTCTTTCTTCTCAAAGGACTTTCACACTGTATGTTACATGAGTTATTTTCATCTGAGATATAATTCTAGATCCAAATTCTATGCAAGAGCCTATTATTCAAAGAATTATTCTCCTATAAAAAATTTGCTTTTGGTGTTTTAATGGTGTGAAGTCCAATCCCAGATTTGGAATTGGGAATTCCAGCGTAAATATACCTTGCGTGCGCACGTGCGTAATCTTAATATGTAGTTCGGATATAAAACAAGCTCTTCAAATCAAAATTTACTTTTCTTTGGATGACTATAATATTTGTTAGAGGAGTCCTCCAGTGATCTACCCAATGTCTGAAATAATACCCAATTGTAAGAACTTGAATTTTGTAGGGAAAAATTACTAAAAAAGTCTTAATCCTATTACAATTGTGCCAATTTAGTTTTAAAATTTTTTTTTTGGCCAATTGAGTTCTAAATCTTTTGTGTTTGTATCAATTCAGTCCATCATGCTAATTTTGGCAGGAAATTACTAACGTGGAGCTGCAAACAATAACGTGAATAACTTTTATATTTTTAAAAAATTTTAAGATTTTATTTTTATTTTTTTCTCTCTTTTTTTCTGCTTTTTCGGTCTCCGGCTATCTCACAGCCTCAATAATCACAAATCCACGAGATAACATCCCTCTTGGGCATTTCGTTAAAAAGCTTGTGGGCTCTAGTTAAATTAAGTGGCGATAACGTGGCTAAAATGACATTGTTTTGGCCAAATTTGATTTTTAATACAAATTTTATTTAAATTCAATTTAAAAATAAGCTAACTTAAATGGAGAAACAGGCGTGCGATTGGCTAAAACGACGTCGTTTTAGCCACGTCATCCCTATGTAGGATAGAGAAAATAATAAAAAAAGCTATGTCAACATTTTTCATTAGCCAAATTTGATGGAGTTAACGAAAAGACTCAATTGAATCAATCTGACAAGTTTAGAACTTGATTGCATTTTTTGTAAGTTTTAGGATTCAATTGCACTTTCGTGATAAGTTTTGGGACTTCCAATGTATATATCCCTAATTTTATTTTTTATTTTTTATAGCTTGCTTCTCTTTATTGAATGGTTGATATTTCTTCTTCACTTGAAATCGTTGGCTTCAAGAAGGTCAAGGTTTGCCAAGGAAAAGGAAGTGGGAATCTTTTAACTCAACTTTGCTTGATATTGTACACTACACTAGGCTGATACCCCGAAAGAGAGAGCATGCTCTTGATGAAAGAAAAACTTATTTTGGGCAAGAGGAAAGAGGAAATGATTTTGAATTTATTAGGTAAGGATTAGCTTTCTTTTCTTTGTGGACCATCGTCTCGAAATTTAATATGTACATAAATTTCTTTATTAAGCAATTTAAAAAAAATTAACCTTCTCTTGAACTTTTATGGTACAACTTTTCCTATAGTGTAACATAGCAATAATTCATCTTAATCATCTGCATGGGGCTGTATTATGCTTTTGTGGTGCAATAGGACCGTGTAATCCACTGCGATAGCGAGATAACATAGAAATAAATGAAAATTAGAGAAATAAAGGTAAATAGATTTGCACGGTTGGTCCGAGTGTCAAAACTTACTCCTGGGCAAGTGTCAGTTATGAATCCATTATGAATAAGGTGATTACATGTTTGAATCTATGTCTCTTTCAATTCTAGACCCTGATTGCAGCCAATTAATCCTCACCAATGTTTCACATGATCCCTCGTAGTATGTTATTCTCAAAATTCACATACAGAACCCTAGAAAACACTCAAGAATTTTTTATGTAATGTAATATCACAAAATAATTCGAGAACGTACTTAATTCCTTTGTTTTTTAGGGTCGAGGTTGTCACTTCGATGCTTACCCATTGTGGCTCGCCGCTTGCATTGTGGCCAGTAGCCACATGCCTTTGGCCAGGCTCCGCCAACTATAGGCAAGTATAATTCGTCCTTGAACACATTGCTATATTGCACCTCACGCCTATCCAATACTTCAAGGATTCGATCCTCGCTCAAGTCATTGGCCAAATCTCAAGACATACTCAATATATTTTAAAAAAAAAAATTGAGGTTTTAAATTTTTTTTTGTTTGATTTATGGACAGAAGAAATTTGACCTCCAGAAATTTTCGGAAATTACCGAGCACTTATCATTTGAGCTTCTATCCATAAGAACTTATTGACCCCAATCCAATCTCTAGATACAAAGTTCTAAGATGCGAATGTGGAGTTCCCAAAAAATCACACCAGTTGAATTTTTACGGGGCGTAAAATCTTCATCGAGTTAAATCTAGGATCAAATGAACAGAAGAAAAAGAAAAATATAGGGTTATACTAGTCCATTCAGCGAGCAACACGTGTCACTTTGCGGGGCTCGGTCCAAAAACCTCCAAGCCTCTCCCCTTTCTCATCACAGTCTGTCTCTCCCTCCACAGTCTCGTTTATGCATCATCCAAATTCCTGTTGGTGGCTTCGAACTTCGAAGTCTCTCTCTCTTTCTCTGAAAGTTTCCATCTTTTCTGAAGCATCAGATCCAACTCCCCTCTGCTAGAAAAGGGTGGGTGCTTTCCTTTCTTCTGACTCTGTTCTCAGAATCCCAGATGTTGTCCCAACGTTCTCTTCCTACAAATCAGATTTTGTCTTGGTTAAACTGGTTATCTTTTCTTGTTCTTTTCTCTCGTGTTTGTCATGAAGCTTCTGGTAGACAGCTAGTTTAGTTATCTGTTGGCACCCAGTAAGACGCTGTAAATCATAGATTAGATTTTTTTTTTCCTTTTGGTTCTTTAATTAGCGGCATCGAATTGATTACTTGATTCTTTTCGTGGAAAAGTTACCATCTCCATCTAGGAAAGAAAAGGCCTTGCAGCGTCAGGCTGAAATGAATTTTGACTTTTTCGGATATGCTTCAGTGATTGCTGTTTATATACTCCCCTGGGCAATCTGTCTCGTGGGTCTCAGTTTTATGTCTTATGGTAGGAGCTCTGTTTCAAGAACAGTTATCAATGTTTGTGTGATATTTCGTTAATCAGGACCCCGTGGCGGCAATCCTGCAATGGCGGACTGTGGTGACTTTGTACAGCTGCTTGGATCTGACATGTCTGTAAAGATTTTTATGCACTTGGATGACCCTTCTGATCTAGCTCGTGTTTGTGCCGTGTCGCGTACTTGGCACCAATTTGGTGAGCGTAATTCACTGATATTTATTGGGTCCTGACTCCTAACTCACTGCCGAGTGCTCCATAGCCTGTATTATGCTGCTTTCACATTTTCATCACAGCTTTTATTTGACTAGTTTCTGTGGCACCAAGTGTTAGTCTTCGTGTAATTCATTTAAGCAATCAATTGCTCAATGTTGCTTTCAGAATATTGAAAGTATACTATGTGTTGGGTAATTCATCTGGAAGATTGTTTCAATCAAATTGACGAGATTAGCATGTGCACTTTTCTCAAAACATAGGGAAGTTGTGTGGTCTTGTAAGACGGAAGAAGTTCTGGCTGGTTTTCAGCAGTTTTGTAACATCGTGCTTTCAAAGATGCAACAACTGCAAGATATTTAGTTTTCAAAACCAGAGTAAATCTCATTAGTATCACTAGTACATGAGCAACTATTGCTGTCCTTACTATTCTTGACTTTGTCCTTTTTTTCCCTAGTCAGTTAAGACAAATTCCACATTTTGTTCGTCAACTGTTTTGGGCTTTGCTGCAGTGATTGCAAATGACCTTTGCAAGAGGCTCTGTTTGAGGATGTTCCCTGAAGTAACGGGTGTTACTCATGTAGTTGAAGCTGACAACATGATAGAGCCTTTAAATGTAAGATCTTACACTTCTCTCGAATGGGAGCAACGTAAGAGGAATCATAAAGTCTATGCCTTTCTGGCTCGAGGTCTCACATCTGCTGTCGGGAAGAATTGTATAGCAGAGGCTATTAGTGCATCCAGCACTGATCGCTACCCTGCGGAACGAGTAGAAAACACTTTGGAACCGAGGGATAGAGTTGAACATAGAGCATCGTATTGGTCAAGTAAAGGTGAACGTGACCCCAGTGTTTCGGAGTCTTTGGTGTACAAGCTGAATGCCAAATTATGCATTGTTACCGAGATCCATATTCAACCATTTCAAGGTCAATCTCTTGATTTTGTGGATGCTCGTCTTTCAGTCCTTAAATTTGCTTGCCTTTTTGTGAACTGACAGGTGATATTTGTTTTAATATCAGTGTATTTTGAGTTTGGATATCCTATATGTTCGGCTAAGGCTGTCAGATTCAGAATGGGTCATCTGAAGACTCGGAAGATGGATGACGAAACTGTTGATGACTCTGGGGATGGAGATGAATCAGTAGAGAACAAATATGTGTGGACGTATACGTCGCCAGAATTTCCAATGGCTCAGGTTAGTTCTATGTCTGAAATGGAATTGTCCGCGTTTCATTACTTGCTTTGAACCTATGAGTTACATTTTGGAGCTTGAGAAGAGGACGACGGCCTTTTAGTTTTTAGTATGGACTTACACAATGGTCTAGCGGCTGTTTGGACTGAATTGTTAGTTGAAGGTATCAAAGGATTGCCATGCCGACTCTCCTTTCAGCAATTTAGTCCATGTTTCCCTCTGCTTAAGAAGGCTCCACGATAATTCTGGATTGATATTCCTAATACTCTAGAAGGCTCAAGGGATTGCATATCTTGAAATGCTTCAAAAACATTTAATTTGTAGCTCAATACATGTGATTTTGAATGGATTAAAGTGAAGAACCTTTAATGCTAACTGGATATTATTCAGGAAAATTATTTGCAACAATTTAAGCTGCCTCAACCTGTACTTAACATCGGAGGAATCCTGCAAGTTGATTTGTTGGGCAGAGTCCTGAGACATGAATTGAATGGACTATACTACATATGGTCAGATCTCTCTTTATTCTCTCTCTCGCATTGGGTTTCTGTGAACTACTTTTCTATAAATTTCGAACTGCTGCTCCTAATTTTGTTTGTTGGGAAGACGGTATCAGATGGAATAACTTAGGTCCGTTTGTTTCGCAGAAAATGAATGATTTAGAAACTATTTTTTTTAAAAATTGATTATTTGTATTGTTTGGAAAAATGAGTTAGTAGAAAATGTTTTATATCGACGACAATCTTTTCTTGAACATTTTCGCTAATGGCGAAATTATTTCTCGTTCATTCATTTTTAGAAGTGATATAAACGATCATTTCTAGGAAATTTTTTTTCAAATAATTGATTATTCGCAAGGCAAACACACGATTATGCGTGATTATAACTGGGGAGAAATTTCCCTTTAGATGGATGCTGACAAGTTTAGCTTCGTTCTTTCTTTTATTATTGTTATTATACCTTTCTGAGGGGCTAAGATGGGCTTTAGAGCATCCTTTTTATGATGCCTCATCATCCTTTTAACAAATTGACTTTTGCTTAGAAAGTTTGGAAGGTCGAATAAAACTTAACACGAGTCATTAGTAAAGGAGGACATGCCTACATAGAAAGCATTACTTTTGATATCCCAAGAAGAAGCTTGAGGGGATTCTTCTGTTCTTTTTATCAGTGCTTGAGGGGAATTTTTCTGCCTTCGACAGGAGCACGACATGCTTAAGCTGCTTCCTTCCCTGGAAACCATGACATTAGAGCTTGTTTCTTCTTTCCTCCTATTTCATCCCACCTCACCATCCCCTTGGACTCACTATAATTCTGCTTCTTCGCTTTGTTCATAGGTTTTCTTGTACTGATTAACAATGTGAATGTGGCTGTCCGTACTTAAGTGGAACTGCAAAGATTCAAAATCGTTTCTGGTCCATCATTTGGCATGACAAGATTATGCAAAAATTAGCTTGATTTCAACGGAGTATACGTGTCTTAACGTGATGGCATTATATGCTTGATGCAGTATAACGCATGTTCACGTTCTGGGTCGGCCGCTCTCCCCTGCATTTGATGTCGATGTTGTCGACTTGTCAGGAAGATACACGCTAAAATACTACCCTGGAGTGGAGAGTCGTGCATCTTCTGCGAGCTCGACAAAGGACGAAGACGGTACACCTTCTCGGGCCCGGACCTTTACGGCAATGTAGGTGCAAGTAGTTGGGAGCAGATGATTTTGAGCACAATTCTGGGGCTGCAGTGGTTGTTGACTCCGACGAATCAGACGAAGAGATTCCTGATTAATCTTCTAATCGATTCACATTTTAGGTTGTCCAGATTTTGCTATTTTGGTTTCTTTCTTCTATGTAAATCCTACTGATGCTGTGCCGTCGCTGCGGCGTGGTGGCGACGAGGAGACTAGTGGGTAACCCATTGTATGCCGATAAGTGATTGGTGTATCTGATCAGATGTATCTTGCATCACACGCAAATTAGGAACTGAAACTTAGTATTTCTTTGAGGGCCATTCCCTAAAAAATGAGGGATCCCAAACTGAAACTTGTGGAACGAGCTTCAGCCCATCTTTGGACCTCGAAGAGTTAAACATTGAATACAATCATGTATATATATAGCAGGAACTGGAAGTCAATGAATGTGATATAGGGAACAAAAAATTATAAAGCAAAAACAAGTAACAAGATAAACAAAAGAAGTTAATATCATGGAAAATCTCAAATTAGTATGTTTGTGGTAAATTTATCCCAAATTATCGATACACTTGTGATAAATTTATCCTTCGTTAGTTTTCGTTAAATTTTATTGTGAAATTGCTGAGTTTGATGATATGTGGCAGTTGACGGGTGTACCGGTTTGGGGTGTTACCTTCTGTTTGTCATAAATGTACCAGCTTGTGATGTTTCGTGGTATTAATCCGATTTAACAGAAAATAACTGAGGATAAATTTGTCACAAATATATCAGTTTGAGATTTTTTGTGATCAAAGAATTAATGTGGGGTAAATTTATCATAAATATATCAGTTTGAGGGTTTTTTTGTGTTCAAAAAATTGATTTTGGATAAATTTATTAATTTGGCATTTTTCGTGATAGTAAATAAATAAATAAAAAAAGAATCTTCTCTCTTCCCTTATTACGAAGTTGATCGCCTGGATTCTCTGCTTGTCGAATCTATGGTTGAAGCTGGAAAATCCGGGTCGAAGACTTTCCAAACTCTTTGGTTTTACAAAAACAACTTCTCCAGCCCATAAACCAGATTCTGCCAAGACAAAATTGAGAGAGATCGTACCATCCAAAACGAGTTGATGACGAACGCTTCTGAAGGTACTGGGGCTACGAAGATTGCGAAACCAATCAAATTGCCTCGAGGCGCACGACCTTCCCTGTAGCCAAAAGATCAAGCCCGGCATGAGGGCACTGGACTTCCGTGGACGTCGTGCTTGGTCGAGTACATCCATCTGTCGGTATTGATGCATCGAAAAAAGGGTCAAAATTATCAGGTAGACGAAGATTCAAACACTGGTGGGGATTGAAAGAGACAGAGATTCAAACACTTGGTATGCGAGTTTTGCATTCACGATCGCGGACGATGCTTCCACACCCAGGAGATGAATCTCGCAAGACCCGTTTCCCGCCTCTTCTCTAGCTCTACAGCCACTGCACAGCCGCAGCAGCGATTCACCAAGAGCCCCTCTTCACCCACCGGCCCCATTGAAGCACTCCACGCGCACCTCATCAGAACCCAACGCCACACTGACCCATCTGCTGTATCGGACGTCATCAGGACATACGCGTCGTCTCCGCTCCGCCTGCACAGAGCTTGCGTTGCTTTCGACGCCATTGAACGACCCACCTCCGCGGTTTTCAATTTCGTGATTCGTGGGTTGTCGCAGAGCGACGGTCCTGTTAGAGCATTGGACCTGTACCGCGCGATGCATCTCCAGGGAGTGAGCGCGAACCATTTGACCTTCATATATGTTTTCAAGGCCTGTGCTCGTGTCTGTGACGTTAGGCACGGTCAAGTGGTCCATGTCCATGCGTTAAAATGTGGGTTCGGTACGCACGTCTTCGTTTCGAATGCTCTGCTACATGCGTACGCGTGCTGCAGCGATCTGGTGTCTGCACAGAATGTGTTTGATCAAATGGCGGGAAGAGACTTAATTTCTTGGAACTCCCTGATCTGTGGGTACAGTCAGTGTGGTGCATTTAGGGAGGTTTTGAGACTATTTGATGCAATGCAGGTGGCTAACGTGACAGCGGATGCCGTGACAATGGTGAAAGTTGTCTTGGCTTGTAATTATTTAGGGGAGTCAGAATTCGCAGATCATGCGGCGAAGTACATCGAGGAAAACCATGTCGTTGTTGATGTTTATTTAGGAAATACTTTAATAGATATGTATGGACGGCGTGGTCTGGTGGAGTTGGCACGGCAAGTATTTGATCGCATGCGCGAAAGGAACTTGGTTTCGCGGAATGCAATGATCCGGGGATATGCAAAAGCGGGAGACTTAGCTGGAGCCCACAGGCTTTTTGACGAAATGCCCAAGAGGGATGTTATCTCGTGGACTTCTATGATCACAGGTTATGCTCAAGCTAACAACTTTGCGATGGCGGTGAAGCTTTTCCAAGAAATGACGGTGGCTAATGTGAAACCTGACGAAGTTACAGTAGCTAGCGTGTTGTCTGCTTGCGCCCATTTAGGCTCACTTGACATTGGAAGGGCAGTTCATAACTACATAATTGAGCATGGCCTGAAAATAGACACTTATGTAGGGAACTCTCTCATAGATATGTATTGCAAATGTGGATCAGTTGAAAAGGCGCTTGAGTTCTTTAAACAAATGAAGGAGAAGGACGCGGTCTCGTGGACTTCTGTGATTTCAGGCCTTGCTGTGAATGGCTTTGCCAATTCTGCACTGGAGCTTTTCTCAGGAATGTTGAGTGAAAGAATTAAGCCTACTCATGCAACCTTTGTTGGGGTTTTACTGGCATGTGCTCATGCTGGACTGGTAGAGGAAGGACTAGCATTCTTTAGGAGTATGGAAGATGTTCATGGACTCACCCCAGAGACGAAACACTATGGTTGTGTTGTGGATCTTTTGAGCCGCTCTGGCGATGTAGATAGGGCATATGAGTTTATAACAAAAATGCCCATATCTCCGGATGTTGTAGTTTGGAGGATATTATTGAGTGCTTGTAAGCTTCACGGCAATGTGGTGTTGGCTGAAATTGCAACGAAAAAGCTTCTTGAATTGGATCCTTGTAATAGTGGAAACTATGTTCTTCTTTCAAATACTTACGCAAGTTCCTACAGATGGGATGATGCGTCCAATGTGAGAGAACTGATGGAGGAGACCGATGTGCCGAAGCCGTTTGGTTGGAGTACAATCGAATCTAATGGATTACCACCACATAGCTCTCGGGATCATATTCCTGTGAATCCCACCAACACCATGCATCTGAAGAAGGAATTAGGACTTTCTTAATCCACCAGTGCATAGGGGAAGTGATTTTTACAATTGAAGTGGCAGGAGGCACTGCAACAGGAACTCAATTAACCCAGTAATCGCATCTATGGGTAAGAGCAGCACTGCAACAAAGTTTATCTGCTTATGGCATGCTGATTGTCTGTGTAATGCGATGTACATGAAGTTACCTACTCAGTCGCTGTTTCAAATGTGCCTAAATTCAGATGCTCTAGACTCTGATGAAATCTCCATGGTTGCAACGTATCTCGGGAGTGAACTCATGCTTCCTAGTGCCGTTTTGAGCTGCTACACACTGGAGATGGTCGTCTACACTCGGTAATTACTTAGGGCTATTGGTGAGTGCCTTTAGCGAGTGAAAGATTCATCGGATTCGGAATGTGCAGTTGAATTGGCAAGCAGACACCTCCCTTTTGGATAAAGTCAAATTGCTAGCTCAGTGAAAGATTCATCGGATTCAGAATGTGCAGTTGTGCACCGCTGACGAAGAGTTCAGTTAGTCATAAGCTATCAGATTTCAGGCTTTAAGAGAACTAAGTTCCCGTCAGCTTTATGGTTGAATCAGCAACATCAAAATCAAAGTGGAAGCTGTTCATTATAACCTTCTAAGCAGCTTAAAATTCTGAAGGGTACTTACCTTTTAACAGGAGTCGGGAACTATCTGAAACGTGATCAGAGGAAGCATTTTGTTTCTTTGATTGGCGTATAGATGAAGCCAACCGGCCAATCGGCAAATAGGACCAAAAACCTGATATGACAGTAGGTACTTGTACTTGAACGAAATGCATATTTTTGTAATGCGATCACTGCCCATCACAATGGCGCAAATTTGCTGGTTGTTTCTTGTTGGATTTCTTTACATGGAATAAAAAATGTTCTTTCCACTTCTCTGGCAGAAACAAATTGTGTCCGAGAACCATTACGCCAAGGTAGGGTTCCGACCTTACTACAGTTGCCAGTATTTGCATTCTAAGCTAGCTAGGAAATCAGTAATCAGCCTTCAATGCAATCCAACGATTTTAGATTAATGTTTTGCTACTGCAAGTCTGCAACTCCCGCGCACAGATTTGTCACGGGATTAACTAAGAAGCATGTTCATGTAATTCAGAAAAAATTTACAAAAGAAGGGAGGAGGTTGACTGGGAAAAATTGAACCCCGTTAAAATTTTCAGATTCACATATGGAGGTGCTTCTCAGGTTCATAAAAACCGAAACGAAACCTGATAATTCTGATAGACATCTGGCTAAGTACAGTATTGAGATCCTATCTATCACAAAGAAAACAAAACCACCATTCTCATCTTCTAATTCCTTTTGCAGGCATACACATTATTCCAGAGGCCGGGAAACAGCAAAATTATGAATAATATTACAGATTGTCGCGAGGACAAATTAATGCTGTCAAGGTGAGTCCCTCCATTTCCAGACTCTCACTTGACCAGTTCCATCACCGGTGAAGAACAAACCCCCAGGACCGACTTCAATTGCTCGAATCTCATTTTTAGCATAAATCTTGCCCCTCTCAGCAAATCTAAGATCAAAGAGAGATCAAATCAGTCATAATCTCCTTCATGTTTTGTTAAGATGAACTCCATTATGAAAATGAAAGATGGGAAACTCACGATGGAAGATCATATACGCGAACACAATTATCATTGCAAGAGCACATCAAGACTGGCTTGGCTTCCGAATCATGCATTCCACATAGATGAAGCACTCCCTGCAGCATAAAATGCCATTAAACTTCCGCAAGTGGATTATGACATGAGGCGCGATGACATGACAAGATGAGCCAGATTCATGATGCTCTTTGCTAGATTCCACAATTGGCAAGCACAAGGAATGCAAAAGAAAGTCTTGGATTCTTTACAGTTCAATATCTGAGAAAAACTTCTCATATCAGAAAGTTCACACCCCCACCCATCATTAAAATGGATGAGAAAAATAGCGATGAAATTAACTGTGAAATCTCTCACTGAATAAAGCATTCACACCATTGAAATTAAATGCTTTCCAAATGAACCAGGATAAACTAATGACATAAGGTACACAATTATCCCAGAAAGCAGCTACATGCAGAGCTAAAAGATACCCCAGCCCTTGCAGGAGATTGTGGTAAAAGCTGGGCCATAGATGCTGAAAATTCTCCTCATATCCTTAGTTTTGAGTGGTCAATCAAGTTTCTACCCCTAGAAATCAATCCAAAACAAGGGCAATAAGAGTTAGCTAATTGAACTTCTAAAACATACATGTTCCTCATTGTGTGTGTATGTCACTTCCAAATTTCCACTGTCTGTGGCAACCCAGACCTGCACAAAAAGGCGTTACTTAATCAAATTATTGTACAGCCACATCAGAACTTGAAGAGAGACTAAGACGTGGCCCACCTTTATTGTTTTGTCTAATGAGCATGACAAAAGAAACTGGTCCCAGCAAAGAACAGACATCACAACAGAGGTATGATCTGTCAAAATCTGCATGCACTGCAGAGTTTCGAGATTCCAGACCTACATGAAACAGTGCAGAAAAAGGATCATAAAAATGGCAGATCTTAATTTTGTCTGCATATGACACAATCCACGTCATTCCTCTGAAATTAGATAACCGAAAACTGTCATGAGATGTGATGTACCCTGATTGAATTGTCCATAGAACCAGAGTAAAGCCTATTAGCTCCAACCACTAATGAAACCACACCAAGGGTATGGCCTGTAAGTGATGCAGCTGGCTCAAAGCAATTGGTAGCTGCATTGAACTTCCATGCGAGGATAGATCCATCCTGCATCAGGAGAAAATTCTTTTACTAAAGGAAAAGGTCAAAAATTTAAGTTCACTCTACACACTGGACTGCAAAGAAAGACAGGCACAGTTTTTCCTATCAACAATTTCAGGCAGAAAAAGACATAAACCAGTGGTCATATTAACTTCTGCCGAGAAACAAGGATATACCTGAATACCAGCAAATAGCAGGCCATTACCCACAACCATGGCGTAAACTTGTCCAACAGGACCGCTGAGACTGAGGTCCGCATTATTTTGTGTGTTGTATGCCTACAGTATCACCACTGCTTTATTACTGGCCAAAAACTTCACAATACCAATACAGTTATGGAGAACCATCAAAATAAAATTTTAATAACGATATGAGAGGCATATATACAGCGAAATTGGGAAAAAATGGAGTGTGCTTTCCCACCTTACCTTTACGAGATTTGGTAAACCAACAAACACCCATGGACCTTCACTTATCATACAACCAATTTCACCACCAAGATTGGCCACACCTGCACACTGCAAGACGGACAATAAGAATGGAACTAGTCCAGTCACCTCCACTCAGCAGACAAAATGAACAAAGGCAAGACTCCAATTATAATTCTATGCCTTCAGCATAACCAAATTTCTGGAATAAATACTCATGATCAAGCAAAAACTGTGCTTAGTTGTAATGACAATATAAGCAACACCGGGCACAAACATAGCATTTCATATGATTTTGCAATGCCCTTCAGAGCATCCTAAAAGTAAATTCCTCCCACAAGCCCATAAAAAAAGGCAAGGTAAGAACATTCTTCTAAGCATTTTTAAGCACATCTGTCCTCCAAGGGTCACAGGAGATGGTTAAAAAACTGTCAGTATCCTTCCTCTTAGACAGACAGCCTAAGAAGCAATAACGTGCAAGGACATAGATCGTCCTTTTGGGAATCTTCATCTAAAAAATTCAATAACAGCAGAATTTTTTTTAATTGCTGAAAAGGCCATGATAACATTCTATTTGAAGCCGTTTTGTATATGGACAGTACCCCCTGGGTATTGTCTTAATAAAATCTTTTAATTCAAAAAACAAAGTCTTTCATAACATTATAGATATGAGGATCACATTAAAACTCAGACATCTCCCACAAACTCTCATGTTATAGATGCCGTGCAGCCATGGTCTGCCAAAGAGGTGAATGTATCAGCAAATCACAGCTACAGCGAAATGTCCCATTAAACCTAACGCATTCATCCAAATGCAAAGCCTCATTGCCCCGATTTATGCGTTCAAACGCTTAAGGGCACACAACCCAGTCCATACAGTTAAACCACCTAAGACAGAGAACTTTTGCAATACAAACCGAAAGGAAAAAAAAAAAAAACACGCAACCTGGCCAGACTGACAATCCCAGACTCTTAGAGTCTCATCCTTGCTCCCAGTGTAAAGATTACTAGAGCCGGATGGAAAAGCTATCCCAGTCACAACCTGTTCACACAAAAGATGAGTTTATTTGAACAAAAAAACCAATCAGTCCACTGTCACTGACAAAGCAATTCTAAAACTACATCACAGATCATACAATACAAGAGCATTCACATCAGATCAATCACCTTCTGGTGCCCTTCAAGTTGCGTCAACATATCGAAACAATCACCCAAACTCCAAGAATGCAAGTACCTACACTTATCCCCATAAGTGCAATTCCCTTGGACCCAATAAGTACACAATTTCTCCGTCTTCTTCGCCACGGCATTGCCGCCGTGAACCCGACCCCACGAATTGGACCCGCCCGTGAACTTGGTGCCCCTCCGCAAGAACTGAGACCCCGAATCCTCCGCGAACCGCTTCGGAGCAGCCCCGTTGCTCGACTGGTGCGCCGGGGCGGGCAATTCTCGGTGGAGGAAGGGGCACGGGTGCCTAGTGCACTTGCCCGCTCTCCAGTGGTAACACACCTTCTGCTGCTGCTGCTGCTGCTGCGGATGCTGCCTCGTGGAGTCGGAGGCCGTGGACGGCACGCCGAGCCGCTGAAACACGCGCTTATTCCCGTCCAAATCCATCACGCAAACAGCCTCTAAATCTCCGGCGACGAAAGCCTCTTCCCGCGTCTGTTCCTACGGGAAGGCGATCAATCGAAGCGGCGCCGCGGGACGAGGAAGAGATGGGTATGAGCCCGATCAAGAGAGCGAGCTGCGGGGCTACCAAGAATCTTGCTTCCGCTTCTTCCTCTCGCCGGAGACGCTATCAAGAACAAGAACATGTGCGGCAATCTTTCTTGCTCCGACAGGTCGAAATGGGATTTCGCAAAGTCTCCGACTTTTCTTTCCCGCAGCTCTTACAATCCAAAATCGAACATAAACAAACGAGGTCGCATAAAAGAAGGGATCAAGAGGAGGAGAATCGGAGGTATCGAGGCGAAAAGAATAGGGGAATCGAGAGGGTGAGATTTTGGGATCAGAAACCCTAATTTATGGATATTGACAGGGGCTTCAAAGATTTTGGGGATGCGATATATGGGAACGATGATGCAACGATTCGGGGAAAGGAAAGCTCTGGGGATGATCAACGCGTCCGATTTACGAGATGCGTTCTTTACCAAAATTGGCCCATGGGACTATCCGGGCCGGGCCGGGCTTTCCTTGTTTTGATCGTGCCTGCTCCAAGCCCGCTGCCTAAAGCCGAGGGTGATCGGTTCCCACCCTGGAACCGAGAACCGAATCGGCCGATCCCGGTTCAGTTCCAAGTTGTCCCCGGAACCGGAAAAAGTGTCAAAAAAGTCATAAACTTTTTGTGTTGGTGCCAATTGAGTTATAAACCTTTTTTTTTGTGCCAATCAAGTCCTAAATCTTTTATTTTTATGCCAATTCAGTCATTCCTGCTAATTTTGGCTGGATTTTACTGATGTGGAAACTAGTCGGGCGGCGCTGACGTAGACAACTTTTAACGATCTTTTTCATATTTTTTTTGAATTTTTACTTATTTTTTTTTTATTATTTTCTTTTCTTTTTCTTTTTTTTTCCTCCCCCACCTTCCCTCCTCCAGTCGGTCGCAAGACCAGCAACCAACCAGAGGCCAGAGCCCAGCGAGGTCTGGCGAGCCTCACCGGCCACTGGCCAGGCTCGCCCTCGCCAGCGACGGCGAAGGCGAGCCTCGTCGGTGGCTGGGCGAGGCTCCAGCCCTCACCAAAGGTCGCGAGGTTGCGGCCTGCAACCTCGCAGCCTCTGGCGAGGGCAAGGGCGAGCCTCGCCATGGCTGGGCGAGGCACGCTAGAGGCGAGGTTGGCCTCCTCGTCGGTCTCTGGCCTCTGGCCGGTCGATGGTCCGTCGACCGGTTGGAGGAAGGAGGGTGGGGAAGGAAAAAAAAAAGAAAAAACAAAGAAAAAATGGAAAAAATATTATTAAAAATTATCCACGTCAGCAAAATCCGGCCAAAATTAGCCGGAATGACTAAATTGGCACAAAGACAAAAGGTTTAGGACTCAATTGACACCAAAAAAAAGTTTAGGACTTAATTGACATCAATGCAAAAGGTTTATGACTTTTTTGACACTTTTCCCCTCCGGAACCAGTGGTGTATCTTTTTTTCTTCCATGATCTAATACCTACATGGTGCACTATACTGGCTGACGTGAACATATTATACTTGCGGATCGGGTGCTTTCGGATTGACACATTACATGAATATGAACTCCTGCAAAAGAAGTTTTGAAATTTCCGTAAGATTTCATATTCCAAAGGCTGCCAAAGCATTGGAGGAGAAGTAAAAGAACGAACCATAACGAGCCTCACCATGAAGCACGCTTCAAAACAACTAAACGGCACGTTCAGTGTCCACTCCCAAAAAATTAAATAAAAAAGAGAAACAAGGCATATCAATTTGGTTCCCGAAATCAGTGGAAATCACCCAAAACAGGCCGGTCTGGTTCTCAGGTTGGATTGGGACCAGTGTTCACCCCCAGCCTAAGTTACGAACAAAAGTTAGTTTGTTAAGGTTTATTCAATGTCCTTCTAGTATCATCAGCGTCAGTTTGTGGGAGCTTCCTTATATATTAACGTGTTGGACCGTTTATGCTCTTTGCGGCCTAGATCTAAGTAATTGAAAGTTTACGAAATGCAATATGACAGTGATTAGCGAGTAATTATCGAATGAATCGAGCTTGATGTTGTCGCAAAGTCGATAATCAAGCTCAATGCCTCCACCGTCAATATCTCCAATCAAATGGTAATGTAAAGAATGCTTTGTTAGCTCCCCCCCGTCTCATCTCAATTCTTTTCACTCGCGTCGACCAAATCAAGCATTAGCATCGATAGACCAATGACTGTTTCTGCTCCCGGTAATGATTCAGGATTCGACTTCAGTACCTCTTGTTCCATCTCTCAACTTCGGACTTTGCATTTTGCAATATGATTTGGTCTTCAAAACTTCTGCTTACGGAAGAACGGAGTATAATAAACCATAATGGAGCACATCATGTTAGCTGCATATAGTTATTACTCATGGCAGCTCAAAGCTTTCAATTACAGTTTCAGGAAACATGCCATGCTAAACAAAAGAACGATGACAGAAAAGACCAAAAACTGCAGGAGCTCCAAACAAATCGACACGATGCAAAGAGAGGTTTCTTATGCTTTTGACATCAGGAATGAAGTTGCGACCATATCTGCAGAACTACCCATGAGAGCAGGAGATGTCATCCACAAACCTCCTAAGAAAGTCAATCTTGTCACCGGGAATGGGCGCGTGGGCCTTTGGATTAGAGGGATATAATCTCACAAGGCATGTTAAGAAGTTGCTGCCTGGAACTAGTTTAGTCAGAGTAAGTCTTGTAAACCGAGACTGAGAAAAGGCAAAATGAAGAAACCTCGAGCATTGGTTATTCAGTGAAGGAAATTGCCACACATTCCAGAGCTCACCCATGATAACCGAACACTCCATTCACTCAACTAAAAACGAGTATTTCCAGAATCATAAGCACCAACACACTCGAGTTGAGAGGAAATACAGATCCGGATTTTCGTAAATGAGCCGTGCCCAAGTCTCATAACTCAAGAAATCTGAAGACCATCCATTACCAAGCAAACTCAGAATGCTTGAAGTGAGCACATAGGTTGCCCTTGGTGAACATAGAAGAGATGGACAGCCCAAGAAAATGTCAAATTAATGGTCTGGCCCCAAAGGTAACTCAGTACCAAATTCAATGAGGGAAAAAGCTTCATTTGTGAAATAGATTGCACTTAGTAAATACCAGATCAACGTGAGTAGCATGTCTGTATCAACAAGTGGCAATCAGGATATCTAATAGAAGCAGAGCAAAATTGTATAAATCAACAAGGCTTTAATGCGGCTAGTAAGCAAGCAAGATAGGATACAGAGTGAGGATTGTACTCTCATACACTATAATATGTACATCGGTAAAATGCTGCCATCTGACATCTATACCTTTCCTCTGAAATCCTTGTGCTAACTAGCAAGCTTGAAGGCATCGATGAAGAGTCCGTAGGTGAAACCCATCTTGAAATTATTGAGAAGAGCGACGGGGAAAGTAACCTTTGGCCGGCTGTAGTAAAACCTGGTTACATACTCCGTCAAGAGAACACAGAGTACAGCAGCAATGACATCGTTCACCCCTAATGCTCCGAACGACAAGGAGATTGTTTGCGCAACATAAAAGCCCCCTAGAAGAGAAATCCCACCGAAGAGCGCTCTCCGAGGACGACTACGGAAGTAATTCCTCGAGATCTCGGGGACAATTCTAATGATGTCTATCAGTCTGCGAGGCCTCTCATCGTCTTGGACGGCTCGGACTCTGAAGGAAGCAGAAGGGACCCTCAAAACAAGCATCCCGAATTTACCTCGAGGAGAACGGGGGCAGGGACTGGAGCCCCACTTAAAGACCCCCGGAGTAGCTAGGCTCAAAGGATGCGCCATTCCAGACGCTGGAAGGGTTTACCTATAACAGAGAAATCGAAATCACTTCAATGAAAAAAGAGAACTAGAGAAAGGTCGCGAAAAGGCCTAAATTTCAAGGAGCTTGTCAAAGAGGGACGAATGGGCAACTAGACTCTCGCAAAACAGGCCAATCTCCAACCGAATTGGACAGCAATGTTCCAGATATTCAACTTGTGTTCGAGCTTTTCGCAATCCAGAACATGGTGTGAAGACCAAATGAACGAACACAGACGGCATATTCTATCCACATGGAAGAACCAAATCGAAGGTGAAGCCCGGCGAGTAGCAGGGACGACAGTAGGTCGTAGTACCAAATTGAAACAAAATCGCTTCCCTTTCTGAACATCTTAACGAGATTACTAATCAAAAAGCACGCATTCATTCGCAAAGAAGATTCGGCGACGAGAGAGAGAGAGAGAAGCACCTTGGTCGAGTGTCAGTGAGGAGAAGGTGCTGATGCTCAGCTCACTGACGCAGGGCTTGCAGTTGCGGGTGGCGGAATAGTTTCATCCGCATCATCCATCCCAGGCCAGGTCAGGCCAGGCGAAGGAGAAGACAGCTTTGTCATAGGTAATTTCTTCTGGGTCTGCTCTCTGTCTACATTCGTGGGCCTTATCCAATCCTGTCGGTCAGGCCTGTTCCATGTCATGCTTTTTTACCCTTTAAATTCTTAGCCCATATCCGAACGCGATACAACACATTAGTAGGAAAATACAAGCAAATACAATTGTGCTTAAACGTATTCTAAGTTATTCTCCAATTCGACACGGTCTTGTTTGAAGTAACTAGCTTTTGAGTTGCAATTTTGTCCCTCATATAGCATCATGAAGGCATGATTCATGTCTGATAATTTTATATGCAGTTTTCAACGAATTCATTACTATTTGAGATTGAGATTGTCTTTTACGATTTGCTTTATTAAATAAATAGATTATAGACTATTCATTTGTGCCTCACAACCTTGCCAGTCCCTGAAATTTTATTTTTTTTGGTTATGAAAAACCTAACAAGCCTACAGTGCATTTGAGAATAGTTTACCCATTTTAAAGAGCACTATCTGATTCACAATCACTAACATAGCGCGCTCCGTATGAGCCACAGAAGACAGAAAAAAGTGGATGAGATCTTCGTTACCACGCTTTAGACCGCGGATGATAATCAGAGGACAAGGTAAGTTAGCGCATTCGACTCCGTATAATGCAAAATATAGTCAGATATTATTAATAATATGTACTGTGAGGTATATGCGATATGATGCCGCCAAAACGGTCCACGGTCACCTATTGCAGAATGCGGTGAAAAGAGTAGAGAGGCCGATCCTCTTGAACGAGAAACTGTCGTCACTTTGCTTTCTCATCTGCAGTACAGCAGAGGGGGCGTGAATGAAGCTGCATGTGGGGACTTAACACTTGTTTGCCAAATGACCGAGAAAGGTATCATCTTGTGACTCGCACACCTTTCAAGCACCTTTCAAGCGACATGTAAAACATCGATCCTTATAAGGAACTCTAGGATCATTCAAAAGCCAGCCTCTGTGTGCCAACTAAGGCAGCATATTGACCCTTCTTAGCCAAGAGCTCAAAGTGAGTCCCCAGTTCTGCAATCCTCCCATCTGAACAAAGTGCAATTTGGTGGGCATTCTGAACCGTACTCAATCTATGAGCAATCACCAATGTCGTTCGCCCGTTCATCAGATGGTTTAGGGCATCCTGGACAAGGCGCTCACTTACCGCATCCAAGGCGCTGGTTGCCTGCATCAAAGCACATCAACGACATTTTGAACAAAAAGAATGAAACCCCCCGCTCCCCCCCCAACCCTTTTCTCTTTAGAGTTTCTATCGTTGGGAACCAAAAAGAAGCAAAAGAGACCTACCTCATCCAGTATTAGTATTGGAGCATTCTTTAGTAGAGCTCTGGCAATAGCAACTCTCTGCAGGTCAAAAACAAAGCGTCAATCTCTCTCTCACAAATTCACAACCAAACTTTCTCTTACCTGCCTCTGGCCTCCACTTAGAAGGCCTCCTCGCTCGCCAACTAATGTGTCATAACCCTTTCAACAAGAAAAACATTTAGCAGACAATGTATAGGAGTGGTCAACTACGAAAGTAAAACATGAGGATGCAGTTGGAAGAGTAAGAAAGACCTGGGGAAGAGAAATTATGAACTCATGAGCATTAGCTGCTTTGGCTGCCTTTATCACATCATCCTTGGAAACGTTATCATCTGGAAGGCCATAAGCAATATTTTCTCCAACAGACACAGAAAAAAGAACAGGTTCCTGCACCATATACGTATTTATTTTGTATTGTTTAGGAGTAAATCAGGAGGATTTATCCAAATCAAGAATACTGCAAAGTGTAGAAGTTAAATTAAATGGCTATTTCTTATAAAAGTCAAATGGAACAGCACACTATGCAAGAAGAAACAAACCCGCCCAGATAAAATACAGCACCAATCCTAAAAAGAGACTGATCTCTATCCTACAAGAACTTCCCGATTACAAATACCGACTAGAGTTAAGCTGTTTTGGGTTTTTTGATGCTTTTAATACACTCACGCTCAGTCCACTCACATGTAACAAGAACCTGCAAAGGCAACAGGTCCAACCTGAAAATGAGTATATACTTAGAAGAAACAAACCCGCCCGGATAAAATACAGCACCAATCCCAAAAACGAGACTGATCTCTATCCTACAAGAACTTCCCGATTACAAATACCGACTAGAGTTAAGCTGTTTTGGGTTTTTCAGTGCTTTTAATACACTCACGCCCAGTCCACTCACATGTAACAAGAACATGCAAAGGCAACAGGTCCAACCTGAAAGTGAGTATATACTCAGAAATGTGTCTCACTTGTCACTTGTAATCATGGCAAGACAAAACTGACATTTACAGAACCCTGAGAAGATCTAGTCAACAAAATTCAGAATCATTAAAGTAGAACAACACCAGGGGCGCCTGATGAAGAAATGCTCCTCTAGATGTCAATTGTCACCAACTTGATTTCTTATTGCTGATTTTAATGTCAGACGATAGTCACTGCAGATGTTAACTAAATCACAACGGAGACGACAAATTGAAGACGGTAAATAAGTAATCCCCCGAATTGATTCATATGATCCTTAAATCGTAAAACACAGATTAAAGATTCGAGAAAATACTTGATTTACGATGGAAACAGCCTGGGCCCATTCACGTTTATCAAATGTTCGTACATCCTCTCCTGCAACAGTTATGCGACCTTTGGTTGGCTGTATAAATTAAAATCAAGTAAAAGACTTTTCAAGGATGATACAAGGATTTAGTGTTAAACAAGGAGATAGGAAATGCTAAATACTTATTAGTAAACCTCGTAAAAGCGAGACAGTAGCTGTACAATTGTACTTTTTCCTGCACCACTTGGTCCGACCAGAGCAGTCACATTCCCGCATTTAAGTGTCAAATTTAAGCCACTCAGGATTTCCATGTCAGGCCTTAAGGGATATGAGAAGTGCACATCTGCAGAAATTGGTAAGTCATTACAAGAGTGGTTTCTTATAAAGAAAGTCAAGTACTCAAAAAGAAAAGACGTACTCCAATTTAATCATGCTGCAAGATGGTTAATGTTCAACAGTCCGCAATTGAAATTTTAACAGGACACTATTTTAAATATTTTTTAGCTTGAGAGCAAACAATGAAAAATATCTTATACTACCACTGAGATTGAGAAACTGACCCATTCTCTGGAACCCACATTTTAAATTTCTCCTGAGACAACTATTTTATTATTGATGTCATTTCTAGAATTTCTTTTGCACATATCAAAGAGAGAAGAGAGAAGACATACATGAAACATAAGATAGACAACTTTATCGAAGCTAAAAGAGAATGCACAGATGATTTACGATACCTTCAAGAGTCACGTCGCCTGACCATGCTAAACTGCAAACACTGCTAGCTGATTTCAAGGCTGACATGTAATGCATACTAGGTGACAGAACTTCCTCATCAAACCCATTGACCAGGAATAGTTTGTGATTTTCATCATGTGATTCTTTTATATGCATCTCTCTTTCTAACCCATAAGCAAGGGCTTTATCAATTTCTACACCTGACAAAACAGTGTTAATCCTTTCAACAGCAGAAAGAGCGCCACGAAGATCACCAAAAGTGTTGACAAGTCCTTGAACCTGAAGATGATTATCCATCACTTAATAAAGAGAGGGAAGAAAAGAAAAAAGACAATGCATGAGAATGCTAAAGGAAGGAAGAGCTTACAGCAAATGTTAACGTGAAGGTATATCCAATAAAGGATGCCATAGTCCCCACTGATATAGCACCCTACGAGCAACGTGGAAATTTGAAATCAATCTAAGCTTCAGTAAACAGACACACACACACACACACACACACATTATATATATATATATAAAGGTAGAAAATAGCCAGTATACAGCAACCTCTTGCCCATCTGTAAATTGAGAGCTAACAAGTAGGGCACATCTGCTTGATAATGAGTTGAATCCGTACTTTTATGGTACCTTTAATCTGAAGCATAAACACACAATAGAATTCCAAACACTACTAGAGGTCATAGGAAGCTTTTAGGTTGTAAACAAGCTAAGTAATTATCTTGACTGATGGCGTAACCAGAAGTTGGATGAGGACAAGCCAACTTCATAGTCTGTGCCTATAAGATAATACTCTGCCTGTCTCATCTGCTCCGCTGATGACAACAACAGGTGGAGGAACAGAAAGCCCTCGTGGTGGCAAGTATTTACAAAGAGACCATCTTCTTGAAACAAGAACCCAACTGTTCTTTCTTGCAATCAGAGGAAACAAAGTGTCTTTTGCACAAGATGCATGCATGTTTCTTTTTCCAGTTTTAACTTCCAAGAGAAAACATCTGAGTGATACACATACAATTTGTAGACTAAAAAAAACCTATATTCCCACCTTCAAGGCAGATAATTATACCAATTAGCCAGCATATGCACCAACAAAAATGTGGAGATTTAGGTTTTGTTAGAATGTGAAGATTATGTTCGGACAACAAGTTGATTTATGTTTACGGTATGCTCACCGCTTTCACTTTACTTCCTCCAAGACAGTACAAGGCCAATAAAGAAATATAAACAGCAACTCTAGTCAGAGATTCATTGACAGATTTAAAAGAGCCAATCTTCATGCCACTGTTCTGATACGCCAGAACCTGCAAAGAAAATATGAAGTCCACTCAGAACATCGAGGAGATTCCTCCATCAGCAAAATAACAGCTTAAGGGTTTACACCAAACCTGACTACCAAATATCATCATTTGCCGCTTCTCACCGCCAAACGATCTAACCTGTCAGAATATTAACAAATAAATTAGGAATCAGTATCTGCATAACTAAATCCCAAATAAGAACACTGACGAGCTGCTGCAATCATACATCACTTCGATATCTCCACTTACTGTGCGAATTGCAGACAGCGTTTCTGTGACACAATCTGCTATGGATGCTTGCGCCAAACCATGAGCTTTAAAAACAGGTACAGTTGATCTTTTGTATACAGCTAAAAAAAATTGAGGAACACTCAATATTAAAAGAA